CTTACTTCTCTCTCTCTCTCTCTCTCTCTCTCTCTCTCTCTCTCTCTCTCTCTCTCTCTCTTGTGGTTGATTGTTGCTTGATTTAGAAGCATGTTGTGATCCAGCTGATAAGTTTTGAATGTTTTGAGTAGCCGTATGTGTTCACGGTTGGGGCTTCTCCAGGCAAAGAACGAAAGCGGGAGTATGTTGATAATGCAAATGGTCTCTTTTCCGCTCAGGCTGCGCCTAAACCCCCACCAGCTATGTACTCAATTACTGAGGGAATGAAAGTAGGAGGGAAGGTGAACGTTAGTCCACAGGATCTCTTGTCCGCATAATATCAAACTAAAGATTATTATTCTTTTATGGAGATTCAGATAAGCTCTCTTAAGATTTCGATTACAATTTATCGGAACTCTTAAGTGTACTTTATGGTATTGCAGAGGACTGTGATTTTGCCACCGGAGGCTGGGTATGGTCAGAAGGGGATGAATGAAATTCCGGTAAGCATCCCTCTTGGGGTTTGAAAATTATAATTATTTTCTATAATTTGTAGGTTAAACCATCAAAAGGAAACTGGCTTTTGAGTAATTGTTTTCGACAAGATAGCATAGGAAAAAGACCCTGAAAAAAAATTAGAAAAGCAATAACAGTTTTGATAAGTCAATAAAATCTGCCATGATGTTTTCAATGAAACCCAAGCCTATGGCCTACTCCAGCATATCCCCTCTCAGCCCCCACTACTCTTTCTGCACGCACTTGCAGACACAAATATGTTGCTGATTCTCGCTGCCACCAATTGTGTGTTTTGTCATGAACTAATGTTACCTTCATACAAATTTGAAAACCACTGCTACTTTTCTACACGTCTAGTTTCCAAAACTTTTGGTATCATGTTAATTTCGGTTGAATGAACTGATCTCATACTTGCCTTGCAGCCAGGGGCCACTTTCGACTTAAATGTGGAGTTACTAGATGTCCTAACACCACCAACAAAGTAGGGCAATTTATACCCTCTTGATCTGCCTTGTGGCCGCGTATTTCGCTGAACTTCCCTTTATACAATCCTATAGGGGTCAGACTGTTCAGGAAATTTTGGGTTTGTCAATGTTGCCTTGATTCATTTATTCATTTTTGCCAATTCACTTGTTCATTTGAAAGATGTAAAGAGATGCTTTCTAGAGGCTCAATGGACCTTATTCCCAATGCTACATTACCAACATGAATTCAAAGTTACATGGATTTGAAAAAACCAGTGTTCAATGATGTTAAACACTGCAGTTTACACTGAGACCCACAAAAAAAAAGGTAAAATATTGCTCTCTCAATTTCATGGAACTGTGAAGATGGGCATGCTTGTGCAAGAACAGTAATAAGATGGGTGAGATATAGAATTATGATCAGCAACAATTCTTATGCTAGTGCACAAATTTTAGAAAACTGTTTGTTGCATTTGTATGACTCTAAATTTCGACGTACACTTTCGTCATCTAAACAAATACTCCCAAAAAAATAAAATTTATTTTGCACCTTAAGTATGATTAAAATGAGTCCCCCTTGAACAATAAATCTCGATTGTTCGTTAGGTGAATTTTCAGATCTAGGCATTTAGGAACTCAAAACTTCTTCATCTAATGATAAAAAAGTTTGGAAAAAAAAAAATAATATTTTTGATGCCTAAATCTAAGCATCTCACCGAATGGACAGCTTGCGCTAAGTGCGGTAGAAGAACACTTTTTAGGGCTTTTTTATTTTTTTTATTTTTTTGTGTTTGTTTATCAAAATGAGGAGAGTATAATGAATGACCTCCGTATAGTTTTTTGAATATTGTTTTGTTATATTACTAAAAGGGATAAATTTGGGGTACGGTTCAAGTCCAGGCTGGCTCCGGGGCAACAGTAGCATCAGTTTCAATTTAGAAGTTTGTTAGTGTACGGGATAATTTGGGCCCGGTTGGACTTTGGAGGGACGATGAAACAGGGCGTAGCATCATTTTCTCTTGGGAAAATTACGTATGGATCAGTTTTGGGGCTTACCATTACGGTTTGCTCCATATTTTTTCAAATATGACGCCGAAGTTCAACCCCAGCCCTATGTTGTCAGATTTGCTTTGCTTCGGCCGAAGTTTGGATTTTTGGCCTAGATCGAAGTAGAACTCTAGTGTATCCTCTTTGGCCCACTTCGGTCCGATTAGGCGGAAGCACAAAATTGTTTTTTTAAAAGACAATTATGTGCTTTAACTCGCTTCGGTGTGATTCGGCCTCTTTGGTTGAAGCTCTAGCACTTTCAGCCAAATCATAGAATTGTCCTTTTTTTATATTATTATTTAAATTTTTATTTGTAAAATTTATATTATTTTAAATACATTATATATATAAGTAATGAAAAAAAAAGCATCATAGAGCTTAAAAATCATCTTCACAAAAAATTTGACAAGGATTTTGATCAACTAAAGTATTTTATCGATATTGAAGTAGCACATTAAAAAGAGAGACTCTTTGTTTCTCAAAGAAAACATGCATTAGATTTGTTGAAAAAAACTAGGAGTCATTGTTGTTAACACCTTTGTTGATATTAATTGCAAGCTCGATTCAAAAAATGAAAAACCTCTTGAAGATGTGGGTCACTTTCAGATACTTGTGGACAAATTGATTTATTTGACTGTGACACAACCAGATATAATATATGTGACTTGCCTTATGAGCCGATTTATGCATGCTCTTAGATCATGTCATATAAAAACTGTCAATAGGATTCTCGGATATCTTAAGTCGTCACTCGATAGAGGTATTTGGATGAAACCAAATAGTCACACAAATATTATTGGTTATTCTGGTGTTGAGTGGGCAAGTAGTCCAATTCACAAGAGGTCCACTACTAGCTATTGTACATTGGTAAGAAAAAACTTAGTTATTTGATAAAGTAAAAAAACAAAATATAGTTCCTTGATCTAATGCAGAGGTTGAATATAGAGTTATGACTAAAATCATTATTTCGAGATATGGGGTTCCGAAATGTCAACCCAATGAAAATGTTTTGCGATAATCAAACAGCTATGCATATAGCCTCAAATACAATTTTTCATGAAAGAACCAAGCATATAGAAATTGATTGTCACTTTGTGAGAGAAAATGTTCAATAAAAAATTATTAGGACTCCTTATGTTTGAAATGAAAACTAATTGCAGACATAAAGCTATTGCAAAGACAAAGTTTCATAAGATATTGTCAAAGTTGGACTCCATCGCTAACTACGCACCAAGTGTTGACGATTATAACATCAATATATTAATTTTCATATCTTGTGGATTACAAGATATTGAGTTTCCTAGTTTATGAGATTACAATTGTAATAAGATTTGTTTTCTAAAAGGCAAGAACTGTAACTCTATAAATTTCTGGTAAGCAGAGTAATCCCTGTAACTCTATAAATTTCTGGTAAGCAGAGTAATCCCTGTAACTCTATAAATTTCTGGTAAGCAGAGTAATCCTTGTAACTCTATAAATTTCTAGTAAGCCAAAGTAATTCCTATAAATACAATATTGATTTACCCTCCATGGACGTAGACACTATTGCCGAACCACATATATGTTGTGTTGATCTATTTCTTTTCTCGTTTCTATTTCTTTTATTGTGACATTAATACGCACTCTTTCCCTACCTTTCTCTCTTCCCTCCCCCCTCAACGGATACAATGCTGTCTTTGTCTTGTGTTATTGGGAGCGTCTCCTGTGCGTTATAAAAACATTATGTTTTAATGAAATTGTCTTTCTTTTGTGTGTTATGAGAACAATTTTCTTTAAGTAAGAGTCTTTTGTTGTGTTTTTTGAGAATAGTCTTTATTATTCTGCTCAGGTGCGTGTTGAGTAATGTTGTGTGCCAAGAAGAGAGCTTAATTATGTATTATGCATGTTCTAGTTTTGTCAGCAACGTGACCCTTCTCTATACTGCATTGGATGAAACATTCTTCACTAACATATGCATGCTTATAATTAGATTTAGTTTATATTTTGAGCATTTTGCCAATTATCAATGATTATTTATGGGAAAAGTGTAATGAACAATTATACACGTTCGTCCCTTGACACACCAAACATCCATCTTAGGGATGGATGGATGTGAAGAGGTGGAGGCCCCACCAAAAACCACAAATCAACCGTAGAGAAAATATGTCAAAAATATTTTTTTTATTTTTAAAATTATTTTTTAATATTCATATTTACAATGTCGACCCTTAAAATTTTTGGTCCTTCGCCGATAGAATTTAGAGGGAGGACTCATATAAATAGATGAATTGGCGGACTCATCCTTATTTGCATGCAGTCTTTGTTTGCTATTGGAATCTTACCATGCCAATTAATAGTGGTTTTACTTCATTGTTTTGGTTTAATTATTGATATTCTCTCTCCCTTCCTCACTCTAAAGCCAAAACCTTCTTCTCCACACTTAAACTAAACCCTATTGTCTATTTCTCTCTAAACCAATGTTTTTTTAGTTTCAAATGGAGTTGGACTCGACCACGTGAGTTCTAATTTACATGCTAGGGGTTAAGGGACCCCATACAAAACTTGCCCTACTACTATGCTCCTCTAAAATAAAATGAGGGCAGTAATCTGGCCCATATTTTCATTGTCTTTGAAGATTTTAGCCCTACAACTCCACATTTTGATCATACTTATTTTAGCCCTAAAACTCCACATTTTGATCAAAAATATGAATGTTAGTTGGATTACGTGCGTTGCAACGTATAAATAACATAAATACTAATATAAATAATCGTGCAGTAAACAATACATAGAAACACAATGAATATTTATATGAGCATTCAAATAGACGGCACAAACCCAACAAATATAAACACATCTCTCTCTTTATGTATATATATACACACGATAAACGTAAGCACCGCAATGAAATCCAACAAAGATAAACTAATCTCTCTCTCTCTCTCTTAATGGAAGTACCATGAACCATCTGTAACACTAACTAAACAATACATCTTTTTGTATCTCACAAATCCAACAAGCAAACATTTTGCTACATTGAAACATTTTAGTTATTCTTAATTAAAATGTAAAAATAATAAATATGAGAGAGCATCCAGGAATAAGAGAAAGTTATTTAAAAATCAAAAGCTTGTTATAAGAAAAGTTACCTGTAAAAATTAACTAAACTAACCAAATCAAAGCCATTATTAACAAAATAAAAAATAATAGGGTAAAATAACATAATTATGTAACATAAAAATCAGCACCCTCATAAAGCGATGTTTCCTAAAGTAGTGTCTTTCTCTCTGATCACCATGTATCCTCAAGAATCCTCTCTCTTTTTAAAATCCAAATAATATCTGGCAATATATCCTAAATTCATCATGCTTAAGCAAAAAAAAGCAGCACTGAAATACCTTAAAACGGGAGAACAATTATTTCTTGGTGTCATTTGAAGTAAAGACAGGACATTAATGTAATTCATGTGTATTCTTCCCAAAATTTCAATCATGTCCATGTCACATTTAAAAAAGACAATTAAGAAGATCAATAATAAGCAATTGAATGGAGCTGAAACTTGGGCTTTGAAAACAAATGAAACCTATAAAAAAAAACCCTTGTGCCAATTACCTCAAGCATCTAAAAACGTAGTAACATTATCGCCTAATCGTTATGCCTAAGTAACTCATTTTTCATAAGTGCTTAACCTATGAGCCTTCAATGCAGGCAGTTTCCAAAAGAATGGCCTTATAATCACCATCACCCCTGTATTAGTGGGACCATTGTTCAGGGTGGGTCTCTTTCTCTCTCTCTTAATCTCAGCTCTTATCGACTCCTCACAACATCCGTTTGAATGGGACTTTTGTTAACTTTTTTTTTCTCTCATCCCTCTTGTTGTTGTCACAAAATAAAAAATAATAAAATAAAAATAAAAATAAAAAAATAAAAAAAAAACCTCTATGATATCTTGGTAAGTTCCCTGAAACTCTTGAACCATGACTCCACATATCCTATACCTATCTATCATAGAATTCCTATGTAGATTTCCAATTAGTATGAATCGTTAAACATAATACCTATTTAATCACAATAAACCATGTATTTCTTAGGTGCCAGAGAAATACTGGTGACCGGAAAAATATTCTATTGATCCAAGAAAAACAGCAAAACACACTAAACTTATTCTACGGAATCAAAATCAAATTTTAGACGTCCTAAAATTCTTCTATAGACCTAAGAATAATAAAAACCTTAACTTGATGCACTCAATCTAAGAAATCTATTAAAAACCTAAGATTCTAAAAAAAACAGTAAATTCAGGAAAAGCAAAAAAAGAGAACAAAAAACTAAAACAAAACCAAAAGATCAAGAAATTAAATAAAAACCCTAACATTATTCTACCAATCCAGCACACCGATGTCAAAACCCTAAAATTCACCTATCCATCATTACTCTATAAAGTTTATTCTCATATATCATGGAAAAAAAAAAAAACCCAAACAATGACGCCCACATAATCAAGGATTTCACACTAGTGAACATAATATATATCTAGATTTCCATGCAACAGAGAGAAAGCGATAAAGGCAACTATATATCTCTAGAGAGAGAGAACTATATATCTCTAAATGTTGTACGTGAAACCTTTTAGAAAAATAAATAATGATTGACAATGGCCCACATGATCTAGGAATTCACACCAGTAAACGTAATTCTCTATATTTTTATGCAAGAGAGAGAGATTGGCAATTATATATCTCTAGAGAGAGAGAGGGGCAACTATATCATCAAGGAATTGGCACCAGTAAGCTGAACGTGAAGTACTGGTGCAGCACACCAAGTTATCCAAATCACAAAAAACTCATCAAGCTAAACTTATAGTAAAAAATTGTAGTCGGTGTTGGGTTCGTTACGCAATTGTCTTTACCACATTTGTCGAAGATTGGTACGGCTTTGTGGTGTATAGCAAAAAGTGTGATTTTTTGGGAGATATGGAAATAAAGAAACAGGGAGGTATAGAAATAAAGAAACAGAAGGACCTTTGAAGGTACTTCTTTGTCCTTAGATTGTTTGATTCATTTAATCAAACTGTCTATTTGGTCGTGGCTATCCGTTTCTAAAGAAGGCTGGGGAATATCCATGATCGATGTGTTGGTAAATCTGGGCAAACTCTTTTTTCTTGGTACCAGTAGTAGCTGACCAAAAGTAAGCTAGGTAACTCATTCGTTAGGTACTTTGAAACTCAATTTTGATGGCAATTATTGAAAGAAATACCTATGTGATATTTTATCGAGGAATACAAA